TGTGCCTTCTATAACTAATTTGTTAGCAGAGCTCTTAGCTAGTTCATTCCACACTATAGTTGTGCATAGAGGCGAAGAATCTCAGCTCCGAATCAAACTAAGCGTTTTATGCTCGAAACTTCTCTTTCTCTGATATGGTGCTCGATTCGCAAGCATTCCCTGAACAATCTCATATCGGACGTATTTGTTCCTGTAATGTACTTCTTGTGTTGTTTTTATATTATGAGCTTTGTCAATTTCTTCACTTTTGCATGTTATGCAACATGATCACGTATATTTCCTTCTCATTAAGGTTTGCAATTACATCCATGAGTGAGTTAATTAATTCCGCTGGTGAAAAAGGAGCCCACATTAAGGCGGTGGAGATGGACACCGAACCACTTGGGAACGGCAACGGCATACCGTTCTCGGAATTCGTCGTTGTTTCGGATAGTAAAAGTAATACCTGTTTGCATAACTGCTCTGGGTGTTTTTTTCGTGAAACATAGTCTTTATCCTTGAATATTGTTTTAGGCGATCCAATGGAGCTGCCGACCGCTCAGGATAATTCTTTGTCCATGGCAACACTTCAGGGGGCTTATCCTGGTGCAACGGGAATGAAGTATAAAAATCCAAAGACCGGAGCACTGAGAGCAGTGGAGTAAGTTTTTATTGTATATCTCCGTTTTTTTCTCTAATGTTCAGAATTTCAGGGTTGATTCCTCTGGAACTAAACTGTTACCACCCCTGGATGGATGGGATGACAAAGTGTTCATGGTAATCACTTCGAACACACGCGCTGAGCGAGGTTTGGAAATTTCATGTCTTTGACACAGTCCATGAAGTCTATGATGGCATTTAAAGCAGTGCATTTATAGATCTAATTAAATTAGTCCTCCAACATTGTCGTAAGACCCACTATTGAGTATCAGCGACTACAGGCAACTGCGACTAGTTTAAGAATATGGGCCAAGCACGGCCACTCTGCGATGTGCTGCCACTCAGTTTCTAGTCATTTGCGAGTGCATTCCCATGAACTGCGAGTAAAGTCGCCTATGAGACGATGGCATAATATCGGGAATGAATATATATTGATTGCTCTAGTGTGATTGTTTCTGACCATGTACCTTTTCGGGCGCTTCGTGGATCTAGACTCTGGAGTTTAGCCGATTTGCTGCGCTTTTTCGTATCTCAAATCTCACGAATGCCATCTTCGATCAACAAACAGCCGCTGCTGCCTTCAGCATTACAAACGCAGAACAGTTGGAGTGGTCATTTTTCGATCTCATTTTCACTAGACATTATTGTCAAAGATGGCATTCATTGAGATCGAAGCGCCGTTTCGGGAGTGTGCTTCGTTGCGCGCGTCCGTCGAAATTAGGTCACGCCGCAGCCGTTGTATGCTCTAATGACACCCAGAGGTACCGTAATATCATTTGGAGATGGCAGCGGGCTGCGCCTCGCGCGATGTAAGCCGGCCGACGGATGCGCGGATCGGCCGTATCCTTATGCAGTTGGATCGGCCTAGGTC